CCGCCACCTTGCTGCTGGGTAGGGAGGGGTTCTCCGTTGCGCAACATGTCACACTGCTCCCTCCTTAAGGCTGTTCGTCCCGAATAGCCTAATGGTGCACCCCGTTCCTTTTCTTTGGAGGCTGTTCTTGCAGCATCTGTTCTCCGGCCGTTACAACCGCCCCCTTCTTAAGACCAACTCGTCTAGCGGTTTCCTTTCAGCTCGCCAGAAGATCCAGTTGTGTCCCATTCATCCATCACTTTCATTCTATGACACATTCACTCTCCCTCGGGAGGCCGGTTCTTCTACATTACCGGTTCCTCCTCTGCTTGAAGTCTCTTTTTCCGTTTTGGAGGGGGTCGCCCCTCCACAAGGTCCAATACTTGATCATTTCTTTCTTCGGAGGTTCCTTATGTCGACGTAACAGCTCTTGATGCGTTGTTTGCACTCGCTGACGTCGTTGTTCCTCCTGGTCTTCCAGCCACTTGCTGGCGCGAGACCGCGGCGCCAAGTCCTTTCTCCGGTATCCGAAGGTTCCCTGGGGAGTTTCCTTCTTGAAGTCATTTCTCCAACGTCGTGCCACTGTCGCGCGACGGGATATCTTCCTGCAAATGGCAGCCAACTTTATCCGGGACACGTGATCTCGGGTCCAAGATTTCCTGAAGATGTGTCTCCGGCGCCATGACACTCGTGCATGGCGGGACACCTTCCTGCGTACGACGGCCAATTTGTTCTGGGGTCCGAAATTTTTCCGTGTCGGGTTCTTCATAATTCGTCGCTTTCGGTCCCTGCGCCTTTTCTTCTTCGGTTCTCCGACCGGCATTACTTCGGCGTCTTGTACGGGTACCTCTCGTAGTTCTGCCGCCTCAGGTTTCCTGTTCGCTGAGGTCAGCTCTTCTTCTTCTGGACGTGCCTCCATTTCTCGGTAGGCCATCTTCACTCCGACCGGTATTGCGATGGGGACCTCCTCTTCTTGTGCCGCCGCAGGTTTTATGTCCGCTGTGGCCGGCTTTTCCTCTTCTAGACATACCTCCATCTCGTGGTAGGCTATCGTCTTTACTTCTTTATCTAGATGCGCCTCCGTCGTTTCTCGCCAGGCCGTCATCTCTTTCTGCCAAGCATCAGTATTGGCTTGCAACCTCTTCTCTCGCATGGCGTCCGTCCTTTCTTGGATGACTCTTGTTTCTGCATCCAACTTTTCTCGCCAGGCTTTCGAGTCGGCGTCTGCTTTTATTTGGATAGCCCTAATCTCTTTCAGCATTTCTTCCTTCTCCGCCTTCCTGTCTTCCTTCTCTTTTCTCCTGCTTTCCTCCCTCTCTTCCTTTTTCCTCCTACTTTCCTCCCTCTCTTCTCTTTCCTCCTCTCTTCCTCCCTCTCTTCCTTCTCTTTCCTCCTCTCTTCCTCCCTATCGGCTTTCTGTCTGGCCGCCATTTGCTCCTGGGCGAACAACAGACGTTCCATCATCTTTTCCATGTCCATGTTGTAGCAGTAAAATACTCGATTCACAATAATTCAATTATTTGTCGAGGCGTGTTCAAGTTCGTAAAACAATTCTGACACCAAATTGTCACGTGTCTTGAGTTCGAATCTCGTTGATCACGTGTGTAAGTCCAAATCCCACTTCTGACACCAGTTGTCACGTATTGGGCGTATAACGCGACAAATAACTTCACGCCGTATTTGATATAGCGAATTTTATTTCACATTCGCAATTACAATCACCCAAATTACAGATTCACAATTACTGCTATCTGCAGTATCACAAATACTACACTCCAAATGCCAGAATGCAACTGACTGGTTGCTGGCTAGCTCGGAACTAACTCGTAGGTAGCTGCCTTGAGAACTGCTGATCACACACTGGTTCGACTACTACTGAACTCGGCGATGGCCACCTTTCAACTAACTACTCGCAGGCAGCGCAGCTCTCTTATATAGGGGCTGTGTGGGCCTGTTACGTAGCCACGCTGTTACCTCACGCCGTCTTACGTCATCGCGCGTTGCGCGTTACGTTACCGTGCGGAGGGGGGGAGGGGGAGCGCTGACTCATCCGCCACGTCACTGTGGCCTGAGTTGCCACGTTGCTGCTGGGTAGGGAGTGGTTCTCCGTTGCTCAACATGTCACAGTATAATAACGTAAAACATAAAATACAATAAAAGATAAAGGTTTTAATCGAGATAAGTTACACAATTAAAATATAATTAAGAACTATATGTACGAGGGTTGTACTGAAAGTCATGAGCAACAATTTTTTGTAAAGTAACAAACTTTATTATTGACAAACCAAATACACCACCTCAATCTACAGACCTTTCTTTATTTTTCCACATAATCACCACTTCTTTGTACACATTTCTCTCAGCGTTCTGGGAGTTTGAAAATTACCCTTCTCTAAAATTCCATTCCAGCCATCCGAAGACACTGACGGACTGCTTTCTGCATTGTCTCCCTTGTCTCAAAATGTTGTCCACGCAGCTGATCCTTCACAAATCCGAAAAAATGGTAGTCGGAAGGTGCCATATCAGGGCTATAGGAGGGGTGTGGAAGAACTTACCACTCCATCTTTGCAGTTGCTTACAATGTGAGGCGAGCGGCATGGGGCGAGCGGTATCATGCAGGATGATGATGTTTCGTCCCGGACGTTTATTGCACAATGCACGACGGAGATTGTGCAGCATCTTGGCATAACGAGCGGCATTGATGGTTTGCCCAGGTTCCAGGAATTCGGCCAGAATAAACCCCTCTGCATCTCAGAAGACTGTGCCCATCACCTTCGCAACTGATGGCACTGTCTTTGCCTTCTTTTTTGGTGGAGAATGCAAATAGTGCCATTCCATACTCGGCCATTTCGTTTCAGGCTTGAAATGGTGAAACCAGCTTTCATCATCTGTCACAATACATAGCAAAAAATTCATCACCTTCGTGTTGATATCTCTGCAGCAGTTCTGAGGTGATGGCTTTTCGCTGACCTTTGCGGTCTTTGGTCAATAACCGCGGGACCTAACGAGCACAAACTTTCCTATAGCCCAAGCTTTCAATCATCTCCTGTACTGCACTGTGCCCTATTCCAAGTTTTCGGGTTATTGTGTCCACAGTCACACGCCTGTCATCTTGAATGATCTCATCCACCCTTTCCTTGTTGTGTTCAGTTGAGGCTGTTTGAGGACGACCGCTCCGAGGCTCATCTTTGATGCTGGTGTTCCCTTCTTTAAAATGTTTCACCCATCTTCGAACGCTGCTTGCACCCACGCACACACTTCCATAAGCACACTGAAGTCTCTGGTGAATTTCTGCAGCAGGGATTTCCTCTTTCACAATAAATTCGATGACAGCATGCTGGCGAAATGACATGTCGTTGTTGTCCATTTTGTTAGGAGTGATACTGGTCATGTGATGCAAGCTATTGACGTCACAAGACACTCAGTGTTAACACAACAGCTGGTTCCACCTACCACCATACTCTCTTTCATCTGCTGTTTCCAGGTTGCATGCAAAAAAAAAGTTGCTCATGACTTTCGGTATGACCTAAGTATAATAGGTTCTATTAAGGTAGGTTGTTGCAATCATAATATTATGTCATAGAGTTTTTGCAGACATATGGTGACAGTTTTCTGGCTTGTATACATGTATGAAGTGGTTTAAATGCTTGGAAGCCCGTTGGTATGCATGCAGTATTATCTAGTTTTCATATTGCAATCTGCCTTCCTGCCAGACCGGACATAATACATGTAAATAGAGGTACCCTTTAAATAACAACAAAACTAGATAATACTGCACGCATACGAATGGGCCTCCAAGCATTTAACCACTTCATAGGTGCGTAGAAGGAAGAAAACTATCGCCATATGTCCGCAAAACTCTATGACATAACATTATGATTGCAACAACCTACCTTAATAGGACCTATTATATGTATAGTTCTTAATTATATTTTAATTATATAACTTATCTCATTTAAAATCTTTATCTTTTATTGTATTTTATGTTTCATATTATAATATTAAGGCATATTGCCAAAAATCCAACACTGCATTGTATTATATTGTATGCAATTCAATAGCTTAAGAACACGTTAATTGTGTATTTGCCTGATGATGGCTTTCTGAAAAGCCGAAACTTGTAGCAAAATACTGTTAAACATCAGCTGTTTTGTTGTTGTTTGTGACGAATTTTAATAAAGAAATATATAAATCTTCTTACCCCATTCAGTGCTGTATAAGCAGTGCATTTGAAACAGTGTTATTTAACATCATCATCAATCATATACAAATATTTCAAAGATTGTCATTTTGTCATAAAATGTACGGGTACATAATACAATAAAGCTTAACAGTAACCAAAGTTCTTACAAGACTTACTCCTACATCATGAGCCATACTGATGCTGCCAGAGATAGGAATCAGGTTCCCTCATGTTCACAAAGGAGGTCTGTGCATCTGAATGAGGCATCTGACATTACAGATCAGTGGGTGCTTGACATATTACTAATGTAGAATTCGTGGTCCTCTCCTGTGCTTATGTTTTGATTTTGTTTCTTTTGAAGGAATGCTTTCTACCAGGTGCTCATTGTCTCCTCATGCAGTTCATTCATCAGAATGTCTTCTAGAATCTATGAAAATGACACAGAAATGTAATAAATGCTTGATGAAATGTGGCAAATGTAGTAGCCCAGGTTCAAATTGTAGCTGGGTTCTAGCGCACCAGATATGTGCAAGTGAGAGAATGCTAGTGACTGTATATCTTGGCAATTGTAATAGTACCATTATTTTTCAGAGCAATGTGTTTTAAGTTTTTTGGTTTAATATAAGTAGGTATTTTAGCTTAATTCATAGACATTTTAAAGGTAATTTTGTGTTATAACATATTATAATTGCCATAATGCCTAAATAGTAGTGCATGCTGCTGTTTTAAACATTTATTGCAGTGTTTGAAATACTTTGTACATCCACTCCCCCATATGCTTAGTTAAGCACAGGGGCAACTTCACCTTTTTTATCTTTAAAATACTTTGTGTTTGCAGAAAATGTCCGCAAGCGTGCTGTATATCTAGTTTCCCATGCATACTCATCAATCAGTATGGATGACCTTGCCACATTTGTTGGGATGCCAGTCGAGCAAGCTGTTTTAGCAGCAACAGAGCAGGGCTGGAAAGTGGATGCAGGCTCTCACATGGTGAAACCCTGCAGACCTAGTAGCAGTCCAAATCAGGGAGCCTCCAGTGAGGATCAGCTCTACAAGCTCACTGAGTTCGTATCTTTCCTTGAGAACTAAAGTATTGCTATCCTGGATATCTGCATGTGCAGACTTGACATTCAATAATTGAATGGATGCGAAGATATCATTTAATATTTTATTTTAAAATTTAGATTTTTTGTGAGGTTCATGTTAAAGCTTGTTATCAGAATGAGCTCTGAATAGAGCTGTGAGCAGAAAGTATACCGGTATAATAAACGATTTCATGTAGTGCTAGCAGTGTTGTGATATAATTTATTTTAGCCCTGAAGATTGATAAACTTTTTTCAGTCATGTCAAAGAATTTATTTCTTCACATTTTTCAGGTTTGTGATAGAAAATTTTGTTAATCCAATTAATTCTATGGTTAGGTTCTTGTAAGCTGTCACATTATATGAAATGACATTAAGTGGATGAGTTCGTATCCTAAGAAACTTAAAAAGTAAGTAGGTTATGTTCCTCAGCCTTTCATCACCCTGATAACATCCGTTACAATATAGACATTATCGATGTGCCTGTAAATACTTCTGTATCCTTGGATATAAATACATGCAATTATAAATGCCAGTGATGTTTATTTCAGATTTGGTATGATATATATGATATGATATGATATGATATATCTTCTGGTTTTTGCTTCTACACGTTTCAACTGTAAATGGTCACCGTCAGGTGATAAACACAAATCAATTAAAATGTCTGTAATGTAAGTGAACCTTCTCTTATAACATAAAGGTACAATAATGTGGCAATGGTAGTGAATGAAATCCAATTCACATCCTGCCACCTTATTTTACCGAGTTCTTTGAACACTATCGTGTACTCCCCTTGATCGTATTCCAAGAGACAACATTCTAGAAAATGGCTTCATGTACATTCTATGCATCTCTAGATTCTTCCACATGATCTGCTTGTTCAGCTCATCATAAATTTGTGTCAATATGATGTAATAGTACACACTGCTATAGAGTTATTTTTAATATTGTCACTCTTCATTTAAAACACCTCATTTCTGCTGGGCCACTGAGTAATGAGTGGGTGAGACATGTTACCTCCCGTTTCCTAATGAAGACCATCTTGCATGAATAAAATGTAGGATATCTATACAAATATAATTTGTGTGGAAAGTATTTCAGAACAGGAGTCCCATAACCTGGGGCAAATATGCATATACTTGCATCTGATGCATACTGTTCTGGCCCTCTGCCTCCTCTCTTTTGTGCTGCTGACAGTGTATTGGGACACTTTCTTTTCGGGGAGTTTTCTGAGCCTTCGTGGTCCCCGAGGATCATCTGCTCCAGCATTGTCCTTCAGCACCTACTGCTCCTCCCCAAAGCTCTCAATTAGGAACACAGTGTAGTTATATCTGCGTTTCAGTTTGCTGGGCCCCCTTTAGTTTTCTTCATAGAGAATGTAGCTATTCAACCCCATCCTGGCTATGATGTTGAAATCTACCTTTTTCCAGTAACCCACTGTCTGCTACAAGTGGGAAAACTGATGCTTGGTAAACATTTTCCCAAACCATGGGATGGCTTAAGAACAGAGGGTGGACCAGTATGATAACTATGGTTGGCTTCTTGAGGGTGCCAGGCCAGAAATCCTTTGATCTTGTGTTTGGTAATTCTGTTCTAGTAATTTAGTAGAGTGGAATGTCACTCGCTTTACTGCTAATCACTTTCTTCGTATATCTGTTGGATTCTGTCACCATGAGTGTAAGGATCAAGTGTGAGAAGAAGAGATGGAAGTATGCAGTAGGAGGAGAATTGGGAGGAGGCATATGCTTACATCCAAACAGTTCTCGGATGTGGAAAGGAAGAGGGAGAGATTGCTCAGATGACGGGATTTCTGTCTAGTCTCCAACCTCCTTGTTATCCTCTTCACTGTCAGACACAGGGTGAGCAGCTGGGTGTGTGGCATATGGGGCATCTTCACTTGTATCATCAGTGTCACTATCACTGTCAGGTCTGTCTAAATATTCCAGCATGTCAGAGTCATCTCACCTAGAGCTTGCACCAGCCATTGTATAGATAAAAATGTAAAATAACTATATATACTATAAACTCTGCAAAATGTAATTAAAATTATGTTAACATTATTGTAAAAACAAAATACCGCCAGTAAAAACTAAAACCACAGACCAACGGACCATTGAACCACCAAATAAACATTCGAGCTCAATGTATTTCATTTATTAAAAAAAAAAATACTTTTGTAAGCCAGGGGATTAAATCTGGGTGCAAAACTCTTAAATAGATCTTGGAGATTTCAATTATAGTTTTTGTTTTTTGTTTGTTCTTTCCTGCCCCAGATTTTGGGTTTACAGAGGCATGGTAGAGGTAAAGTTGTCCCCCTAGGCAGTAGCTAGTCGCTATGCCAACTGCGCTATCCTGGCACACATACACAGTTGCTGTCCTGATGCATAACCGTGTAACTTTCAGCAGTTGTCCCATTTCTTGGATTATACCTGCAGATACCTGCCTTTGCAGTAATTCCATCATGATATATGCTTAAACTTTAAACGCCAGACTATTGAAATAGTGCTAGCTTGAGCTGGCAGGAGTTTATTTAAATACCTGCTGCTGCTGCGCGTTTAAATGCCGATTGTCTCTCTGCTGTTAAATGTCTGTTCCTGTTAGGGTGCTTGCATTGCACTTAAAATGCTCTGTCTAATACAATTTTTATGATAAATGAATGGAATTAACTTTGTTTTTATCAGCAAAGAACACAGTGTCACATATTATAGCATAAATTTGAAAATATGTAGACAAGAACTTATAAACTACTTTTAATTTGTTCTTGTTATTATGATGTGTACTGTAAAAATAGTTTCCCATATCTTCACATAGTAGTTCTGCATTAAAAAATCACTCCTGCTTGTAACATTTGAAAAAATTTCACATTCTCTGGTAACATAAACCAGCTGGAAGCAATAAAGTCATTTGGTTCTCTGCTGGCAGGTTTCAAGTCTTTGTTACACCCTTTAGATATCCCAGTCTTTGACTAAAGGACAGAAAAGTGAAAACATGGCCTTTCTAGCAAGGTTACAGGGTAAATTAAATGTTTCCTAATTCAGTGCAAAGCCCTGCCATTGCAGCTGCAAGAGAATATTGCCCTTTCTATGGTTGGAACCACACGCTTGCATCTCAGCTGAGACACAGAGTGCATTCAGTTTTCTGTGAGTTCACAGTGAATTTTAATATTGTAGTTTCATTTTACCATACAATGGAAATAAAACCTTGTTTGGAAGATGATGAAATTAAAAGGCATTACAAGATATGTGGTGTGGGACTGTGCTTTCTTGGGTGCTTCAAGGAATATTACACAAAGACGAGATTCAGTTACATGACGCAGGGGTTGGAGCCTGTATATACGCCAAGTGGTTAACAGCAAAGAAATGGATGTATATTGAATTTTAATCTAGTCAAAGTAAAAAATATAGGATTGTGCATACACTTATACTAGCAGAGGGTGTGCACTTCCGCTAGCAGAGTTTAAATGCCCATCTTCCCAAATCAGGGTACTTTGACCATGACGGCCATACTTATCACTGGCCCGATCGGGCACTTCGCACGTTAAAGGTTAATACACTGAGTCCCCAAGATGGCTGCCTAATATTAGATTCAAATGGCTTCAAACTTACAAACCCTGAGGAGCCTTCATATTAATCCTCTCTTCCATTAGAAAGTTGTTGAGGTCTCTAATGGGGACTTGTTCAGACAGTTTTGCTTCTGGCTGTAGAACATTTTGCTTGCTGATATGAAAGGGACCTTGTCATATGCAATGATCTTCTGGATCTCATGGAATTCTATTATTTATGGGTATCTTTTTGTCCACAGGAACATGATTTCCAATGCAGGTAATACTTGTACACACCGGAGTAGCCTTCTTGATGCTTGTTTTTAGGGCAAGTCATGCACTATTTAATAGAGTTTGTTTTTTATAGACAAAGGATGCCAACTGGGTGGAAAATTGTGAAATAGACCATAGAGATTTTAATTTTTGTTGTTCCATTGTTCGTTGTTCCAAATTGTGTTTAGGGAGGTATGGTAAAGGTAAAGTTGCCCTTGTGCATGACAAAGTAAGCTCTACATCATGAAGCTGCATAGGGGAGTAGATGGATAGACCCACGTTTTCTTGACCTCAGTACTAGTGGAGGTGATTGGTCAGCTTCCTGCAGCGGCCACTTTAACCTCAGAGGAAAGAGCCCCCACTACCCATTGGATAGGAGGCTGTGTTGGGCACATGGCCGGTATGAATGACATGGAAGATTGAAAATTCTTGACCCCACATGGACTCAAACTCCGACACTTCGGTCATCCAGGGAGTAGCTAGTACCAACTGCACTATCTTGGGACACATACAGTTGCTGTCCTGATGCATAACAGTGTAACTTTCAGCATTTCTCCCATATCTTGGAATAAGCCCACAGTCAACTGTCATTCGAATAAATCCATTATGATATATTCTTAGTCCACTGAATGCTCAAGATAACTGCTTAGACATTCTCTTCAAATTGTTTCAGTGATCTTCTGGATCTCATGGAATTCCATTATTTACTGGCATCTTTTTGTCCACAGGAACATGATTTGCATTGCAGGTGATACTCGTACACGCTGAAATAGCAATGCACACGCCGCCTTCTTCATGCTTGTTTTAAGGGAAAGTCATGCACTTGAGGGATCAGTATATTTAATTTATTTAACAGATTTTGTTTTTTGTAGGCAATACATGCCATCTGGGTGGAAAATTGTGAAATAGACGTTAGAGAGTTTAGTTTTTTGTTGTTTCATTATTCGTTTTTCCAGATTGTGTGTTTAGGGAGGTATGGTAAAGGTAAAGTTGTCCTTGTGTGTGACAAAGTAAGCTCTACCTCATGAAGGTACATGGGGGAGTACATGATAGACCCATCTTTTCTTGACCTAAGTACTAGTTGGAGGTGAGTGGTCAGCTTTCCTAACCAGCCACTATAACCCTGCAGGAAAGAGACCCCAGTACACATTGGATAGGAAGCTATGTTGGCCCCATAGCCAGTCTGAATGACATGGAGAATTGAAAATTCTTGACCCCACAGAGACTCAAGCTGTAACACCTTGGTGGTTCAGGGAGTAGCTAGTCCCTATACCAACTGCACTATCCTGGGACACATATACAGTTGGTGTCCTGATGTGTAACAGTGTAACTTTCAGCATTTGTCCCATATCTTGGATTAAGCCTGCAGTTAGCTGTCATTCCAATAAATCCATTATGATATTATCTTAATCCACCAAATCCTCAAGATGGCTGCTTAGGCATTAGCTTCGAATGGTTTCAAAGTTTTGATCCCTGAAGAGCCTTTATGTTAATTCTCCCTTCCATTAGATATTTGCTGATGTTCTAATGGGGTGTTGGTTGGACAGTTTTGCTACTGCTGTATAACAATTTCCTTGCTGTTATGAAAGGTATCTTGTCATATGCAGTGATCTTCTGTATCTCATGGAATTCTGTTATTTATGGGCATCATTTTGTACACAGCAACATGATTTACATTGCAGCTGATACTCGTAAACACCAGAGGAGCCATGCACGTGCCACCTTCTT